ACAGAAGTCAACCAGTGGTATCAGAGCCTGGTTTACTTCAGACTTTGTTACTTGGAACGTCGATTTGTCGTCGAGAAAGGGGTGATTAGGAGGAGATGGCGGTTTCTCACACAAGTTCGGTGGACTAAAATCTTGAAGGTTGCACGAAGAAATCAGTCGGGAATGTGTTGACGACTTGAAGATAGTCGCACCTCAGATTTGTAGAGTTCGAAGAAAGGGACTTCAACTAATTAAGTTGGGGGATGTCATAGTCATGCTTGTACCTTACCTTAATAAGTTATGTATGAACTTTATGTTTTAAATTCTGTTTGTTTTATTTCGTGAATATTCTGCTTGTCTGTTTAGAGTTATCAAGTCTCAATCCTTACTCATGTGACCAAAGGTCTTATTCTAGGCTCTACCTCAAAGAACTCTCTCTAATAGGTGGGCTCGCCCCACAGGTCACGTAGTCACCTAAGGTTGTGGTGTACGTGCTTGCTTCACTGACTACCCAAAAAATCAATGCCCACCCATAGGATGGATCCATTGTGCAGGGTAATCAAATCAAACTTTCTTCTTGTGATTATCTCGATGCTCTCTAGGAAGAATTAAGAGAGGAGTTCTTGCATTAAGCTCTCCCAAGTGTCCACAATACATCAACCATCTTGAATGTCGATGTACTTGGATCTCCACCAAAACTTTGCATCATCGACTAGATGAATTTTTGCCGATGTAATTTTCACTTCTTATGCTACGACATTTTTGGCTTGAAAGTTCTATTTGAGGTCAAAGATAAAGTTCTCTAGAGCCTTGGCATCTCGAACCTCATAAAAAGGTTTGGGCTACGGAACCTTTATCTAGTTGAATTGTACTACAACTTAAACTAGGGCTTGATTCTCCACTTCTCTCATGGTGAGGACTTGTCTAGCGCTCAAATCTGCCACTTCATCCCTAACCACTCCAAAAGCTACTCTCAAAATTTTAGATATTTTTTAGACAATTTGAACGATCGCTTGTTGAGTATTGTCTAAGCCCTTGATATGTTCTTCCATCCAAACAACAGAGCCCATCGAGTTATCTCCCTTGAGCCACTAGCACTTAGTGGCATTGAATGTTGGGGCCTTGACCCTAACCATTAATACATGGACATTAGCTTTTCAAGGCAACCTACCAGCTCGTTGATCCTATCAGCTTTAGCGAAAATAAAATTTATGCGAGCTTTTAAAAGCCCCAATTCATCAGGAATTTCAGTTAGGTAGAGTAACTAATTTTTTACCTCTACCAATTGATTAGTCTGGGACTTGCCCGGTTCTTTTGCAGCAAACATGTTTGTGTCCTACGATTCAAGGAGCCAACTTCGCTTTGATACTACTTNGCTTTTAAAAGCCCCAATTCATCAGGAATTTCAGTTAGGTAGAGTAACTAATTTTTTACCTTTACCAATTGATTAGTCTGGAACTTGCCCAGTTCTTTTGCAGCAAACATGTTTGTGTCCTACGATTCAAGGAGCCAACTTCGCTTTGATACTACTTATCACAATCGCACTATTGCGGCAGTGGGATAGCGATTATGCGACACTTATTCTAACTTAGTGAACAAGTCATTCGTATGAAAATCATAAGTCATATACAATTAAGACGTTTGATTGAACCTTGGCCATGTTTGAAAGAAAGTGTTTTAGAAATCGTGAGGAAGGAAANTTTTTTTTTTTTTTTTTTTTTTTTTTGTAAAAAAGCAATAGTATAGGCTAAAAGAAAATAAGCAACAACCACAACTTTGATAGCATATAACTTGAATAGTAAGAATTGATGACTAGTCACATACCTTATAGTACATTTTGAACCATTTTAGCCCTGACGGGTGTAGACATGATTTTGTTGTCGGGTCATACACACCCGTACTAACACAACAATAGTAGTAAATGTCTATCTAACTTGAAAGTAAGTAAAGGGGTTTGGAATGGGCATTCGGTTGTGGACAGACACGTCATGAACAAGCATGATTGGGACATCTGACACATGACTGTAGGCAATACGCCTTGGACAAGCATGACCATGATTGCCTGCAGCTTGACTTAAGCTCACCTCGGCTTGACAAGGTATGTAAGTTGTAAAGTTAGTAGGCATGATCTCACTCCTTATGTAAATTATATGCATATGTCAATTACTGTCTTTTGAACTAATTAGGATACAATTGGTTACAATACCTAATAACTTGGAGTCTATTGCATGATGATAGATTATGGATCCTAAAACCTGAAGTTGTACTATACGAGATGGTAGAGCAAGTAGAGCTTCGACTGAGACCGACTCTACTCAAATTCCTTATAAGGAAAGGCATGCTAAGAACAAGTGTTGGAATAAGTAGATACCATGATGCTACAATTTATGATCTAGGCCACTCAAATAAACTAGGGTAACATAAACCGTGTAGAAAATGTGAGAATATCTAGGTGGTCGAGAGTGTTAAGATTTATGCCTTAAAGCCTCGTAATTAATNACCATTATGTAATTGTAACCTAAAGTAAATAAAAAGTCCTAAAAACTCTAAATTGTAACCCACCCAAAATTTATAACAATCAAACTTCACTCTTCTTCAATGTGGCATGCATTGAAACATCTTTTGATCATTTTTACAACTTTTTCTTCACACCGTCATTGAAGTATATTGTATGATTGATGTTTTTTGGTTCATATCAATTATAGTACATTTTTAAGCATTTTAGCCCTGACGGGTGTAGACATGATTTTGTTGACAGGTCATACACCCCCGTACTAACACAACAAAAGTAGTAAATGTCTATCTAACTTGAAAGTAAGTAAAGGGGTTTGGAATGGGCATGCGGTTGTGGACAGACACGTCATGAACAAGCATGATTGGGACATCTGACACGTGACCGTAAGCAATACGCCTTGGACAAGCATGACCATGATTGCCTACAGCTTGACTTAAGCTCACCTCGGCTTGACAAGGTATGTAAGTTGTAAGGTTAGTAGGCATGATCTCACTCCTTATGTAAATTATATGCAACTGTCAATTACTGTCTTTTGAACTAATTAGGATACAATTGGTTACAATACCTAATAACTTGGAGTCTATTGCATGATGATAGATTATGGATCCTAAAATCTGAAGTGGTACTATACGAGATGGTAGAGCAAGTAGAGCTTCGACTGAGACCGACTCTACTCAAATTCCTTATAAGGAAAGGCATGCTAAGAACAAGTGTTGGAATAAGTAGATACCATGATGCTACAATTTCTGATCTAGGCCACTCAAATAAACTAGGGTAACATAAACCGTGGAGAAAATGTGAGAATATCTAGGTGGTCGAGAGTGTTAAGATTTATGCCTTAAAGCCTCGTAATTAATTGTTTAATTTTAATAATAACTTTGATTATTTTATTTAAAGTTTAATATTATCCCACATGTGATTGACATACAAGTGGATCATGTTTAAGAATAACCTAAAGGGTCTATAGTATATGGATAAAAGTTTGTCGATGCTAAACAACTAGAAGGTTCAACCACACCAAAGGTAGTTCCTTCCGCATTTTTTCATGAAGCTTTAGCGATCAGATTCTCGAAAGTTAGCTTTAATCCAGTGCAATGATTTGTTGGACTACAATCAAAATTGATTGCTATTTCAATGGCTGAAGTTCTCTTGATGTCTTCTATGTTACTTTGCTAACTTTAACTCCATAATCCTATTAAAATAAAGAAGAACAATGAAACTATTGTATAAAACCAAATATAAATTAGGAATTCAATAATAAGATATAAATCAAGCATAGTCTTAGATTTTCTAGATAGTATATATAAGTTAGAGCAATTANAAGAATAACCTAAAGGGTCTATAGTATATGGATAAAAGTTTGTCGATGCTAAACAACTAGAAGGTTCAACCACACCAAAGGTAGTTCCTTCCGCATTTTTACATGAAGCTTTAGCGATGAGATTCTCGTAAGTTAGCTTTAATCCAGTGCAATGATTTGTTGGACTACAATCAAAATTGATTGTTATTTCAGTGGCTGAAGTTCATGTCTTCGTATGTTACTTTGCTAGCTTTAACTCCATAATCCTATTAAAATAAAGAAGAACAATGAAACTATTGTATAAAACCAAATATAAATTAGGAATTCAATAATAAGATATAAATCAAGCATAGCTTAGATTTTCTAGATAGTATATATAAGTTAGAGCAATTATCTCCAATGATATTAGATATTTTGGATAAATTAAAAATAAAATCATAAAAGCTTCATACCACTTTAAGACATCAAGAGTAATAGCGTCCCTAATTTATTACCTATAAAAGTAATTTAATGTACCAAAAAATAATACTAATAATTTAACACCCATCTTAAGCACAAACAAATTTCAAACAATTAAACATAAAATAAATCAGTTATTTATAAAATTTAAAATTTAAATTGTATTTATAAAATTTAAGTTTAAATATAATTAGAAAAAAATTAACATGAGATTAATGAGGAAATATACCTGACTAGGACCTTCTTTGAGATGTGGACAATAATTTTGATCAATTATGATTGGGTTTTTCACATTATCCATAATNAGTCTTAGATTTTCTAGATAGTATATATAAGTTAGAGCAATTATCTCCAATGATATTAGATATTTTGGATAAATTAAAAATAAAATCATAAAAGCTTCATACCACTTTAAAACATCAAGAGTAATAGCGTCCCTAATTTATTACCTATAAAAGTAATTTAATGTACCAAAAAATAATACTAAATTTCAAACAATTAAAGATAAAATAAATCAGTTATTTATAAAATTTAAAATTTAAATTGTATTTATAAAATTTAAGTTTAAATATAATTAGAAAAAAATTAACATGTATGAGATTAATGAGGAAATATACCTGACCACGACCTTCTTTGAGATGTGGACAATAATTTTGATCAATTATGATTGGGTTTTTCACATTATCCATAATAATGTGTTGAAAATGAACGTTTGTAGCGAATCCATTGCTTGGTCATCCCCAAGACTTAATTCTGAGTCCCCGTGAATGTAGATGATTTCACTGTAACGTTATGCACTCCATCCTCCTCAGCCTCCATCCCTAAGCTCCCAATGCTAAAAACACATTCAACAAAATATCAAATGTTTTCTAACCTTTAATTTCCTCACTCTAACCTAATATATTATATAACTATTTTTATCCAAAATAATTTTAAAATAATTTAAATCATTTTTCTCACGTTCAAAATAACTTTAGAATATATTTTAATCATTCAAATTTAATTTAACGTTTAGATTATCTTCTAAAAATTAATGTGACAAATTTATTTAAACCCTTTAAAAAACATTTCTAAACATGTTCATCCTAATCTATCTTTAGTTACCTGATTCCATGTCTAGGTCCACATGTAATACTTTCGATCCACATGTTGGATGTGCCTGGACCGATGGAGATGCAGTCGTCACCGTTTCTAATGTTTGAGTTGAGGATGGTCACATCTGATGATTGTCGCACATGGATGCCATCAGTGTTTGGACTATCGCATGCAGCCAAGACATTCACTCTTGTCATATGCACGTTTTGGCACCGATTCATTACAATGTTGAACAATTGGCTGTTAATTGAAGATAATAATCCATTGATGTTCAAATTCTTTCCATCATTTATTTGAAGACTATCAATTCAAAACAATCAAAAGGGAGAATTAGTAAAAATTTAAAATAATATTGTAATTAATCCAATCATTTTCATTCGGTTAAAGAAAAAGTTTCAAATTTTTTTTATATGGAGCCAACTTAAATTCTGCATACCCGGGCTCCAATGGGGCAACTCTTCCCTGAGTGTTTACAATTCCAGAGGGGAGTTCCTTGCCCATCAATAATATCGCCAGTAATGGATAGCCCATTTATGTGATTAAATAAAANTTCTCACGTTCAAAATAACTTTAGAATATATTTTAATCATTCAAATTTAATTTAACGTTTAGATTATCTTCTAAAAATTAATGTGACAAATTTATTTAAACCCTTTAAAAAACATTTCTAAACATGTTTATCCTAATCTATCTTTAGTTACCTGATTCCATGTCCAGGTCTACATGTAATACTTTCGATCCACATGTTGGATGTGCCTGGACCGATGGAGATGCAGTCGTCACCGTTTCTAATGTTTGAGTTGAGGATGGTCACATCTGATGATTGTCGCACATGGATGCCATCAGTGTTTGGACTATCGCATGCAGCCAAGACATTCACTCTTGTCATATGCACGTTTTGACACCGATTCATTACAATGTTGAACAATTGGCTGTTAATTGAAGATAATCCGTTGATGTTCAAATTCTTTCCATCATTTATTTGAAGACTATCAATTCAAAACAATCAAAAGGGAGAATTAGTAAAAATTTAAAATAGTATTGTAATTAATCCAGTCATTTTCATTCAAATTTCAGTTAAAGAAAAATTTTCAAATTTTTTTTATATGGAGCCAACTTAAATTCTGCATACCCGGGCTCCAATGGGGCAACTCTTCCCTGAGTGTTTACAATTCCATAGGGGAGTTCCTTGCCCATCAATAATATCGCCAGTAATGGATAGCCCATTTATGTGATTAAATAAAATCCAAGAACTCGAATTAGCTAAAACTTGAATGTCCGAGGAAGCCACAAGAGTTCCCTCAATGAGAATAGTAATAGCATTGTTCTTACAAGGCCCATTAAATCTCACACTTTGAACGGAGAATATACCATCGGGAACGTAAATAGTGGCTGGTTCAGATGAGTCACAGGCCTTAGCTCATGCCGTTTGAAGCATAGGTGAGGCATCGGTCTTTTCATCGGGCTTAGCTCCGAGAGTAACAATATTGAATGTAAATTCAGCAGCTGAGGCATGGTTAAAAAACAAAAGTTGAAGGGAAAGAAAAACATGTAAGATTACAAGAAGAGACAAAGAAAACTTAATGATACAAGTGTTCATGATAGACTTGAGAGAAAGAAAAAGGAACCAAGTGATAGGAAAATAGAGGAGGTGTGGAGTGATATTTATAGGTTAATGGTTACCCTTCTAACTCTAATTTTAACTTATCAAGTAATACTTTATTCTTGTTCTATTTAACCATTATTGTTTTTATATGGTTTAACCATTTTTAATTAGGTATATCATGTAGGTAAATTTAATCAAATCCAATGATCATTTAACTCTGTCTTTCTAACATTTTTAAATTTAAGTCTATCTTATAAGATAAGACACTAATTGTCATTTTAATGATCGACGGTTCCATCTCATTTTTAAAATTATTAAATTAAAAAAAGTTTCTTTATCAATATGATTTTATTTTTGTTTTAACTTAAAAGAGGGATGGGAAGATTTTAAAAAAAGTTTCTTTATCAATATGATTTTATTTTTGTTTTAACTTAAAAGAGGGATGGGAAGATTTTAACTGAAAAAACCCTAATTTTTCCAACTGGTTATTTTTTAAAAATGGATGTTTAAGCTTAATTGTTTGGGTCAACTAAAGCACTATGCAATGTAACAATATGTGTTTTATTGGCCTGTTTAAGCTTAATTGTTTGGGTCAACTAAAGCACTATGCAATGTAACAATATGTGTTTTATTGGCCTCTCAACCTCCTACTATAATAATAACAATTTACTAATACTGCTAGGTGTTTATATTTTTTGATACCAATTCTATATCGATTCTCTATTATAATAAAAATAATAAAACATTCTATAAGATAGAATCAACAAAACACTATTATATATTTTTCAGTCTTTTTATCATGTCGTTGTTAGTGATGTAATAGAAAGTTATAAAGGTGTCACAATTAATGAGAGGCCAAATTGTTTGTCATATTTGTAACTATCCAATAAATTTATAAATGCTCACACAAAAATAATTTACAAATATTATATTTTTCGAAATCTTAAAGTCTATCAATGATAAGTATATCGATAATATGCCGTTTTTATATCTATCAACAATTTTTTATTAATCATTTATAGACTTTTTTTTTTTTTTTTTTAATTTATTATCGCTTAGGGATAGATCTATATCACTATAATAGACATCTTTTTCTCCTTTGATTAAATTGAACCCCATTATATGTTAGGTTCTTTCCTTTTATCACTTTTATTTTTGTAAAAATCATTGAACCACACTAGAAGTAGTTGAAAGTTTGTAAACTAGACTTTATCGCTAAAAATTAATGAACTAAAATCTAATTGGTGTAGAGACAACAAATCTAGGAGGGATGGAGGGAGAGAGAGATCAATGAAAAGGTAAAATAAGTGAGGGATGAGAGATAGATATCTTATGAATAGGCAGATTGGGTGCCTTAAGCAACTATTAGGACTTACATATAACCGGGATATGAAGAATTGAAAACTTGTCACATCCCCCTATAGTACATTTTGAGGCATTTTGATCCTCGTAGGTATAAACATGATTTTGGTGAACGGTCATACACCTTCGAATTGACATAATAGAAATGATAAAGACCTAACTCCGTGAAAACAAGTAAAAGGGGTTTGGAACGAGCATGAGACCACAGACAACACGCCTTGGACAAACATGACAGTGACATCCAGAATGCGACTACAGGTAACAGACCTTTGACAAGCATGCTTGTGATATTCTCCTCCACTCAATTGGTTGATGTCTTTATCAACTAACTCTTCACAAACTAAGCAATGTAGAAGGAGGCTGACTTTGGCTCTCTCGAAGTGTTTCCAACTGATCTCAGCGTTTTGATATCTCTTCCGATCTACCAAGAACTTTTGTAAGTCTTTTCTTGATCTATTGATGTGTCGTATCTTTCAACCGAACTCTCTTCTACTTCCTTTGTAATGAGATTCTTCATCATGGCAGGAGGTCGTGTTGCCGCATTGTTATTGGTGTCTTCTTTATTAGCATACGTTTTAAGTTTATGACGTGGATAACATAACTAGTCCTCATCCATGGGAGCAATCGGTTCCTATATGATGCTCCCATGGATGAGTTAACCAAAAGTTCCCAGTATGAATTCAGTAGTCGATATCATCTTCACCCTTTTGTTTATCGAGTATGGATCTGAATGATAGTGTGGTTTGACCTCATAACCACGAAGCATTTTGTTTGGGGCATGAAAATGACCTTGCCTTTAAGAAGAAAAAAAAAAAAAATCTATCCCTAACACGGCATTGAAATCATTCATCTTGATTATCATAAAATCAGTTTGCTCAATCCAAGTCTCCAACTTGATCGATGTTCTCTTTGAAACTTTTGATATGGGTAAGGCTACAGAATTACAAAATTGACAGTTTCATCGTTCCAGTGTCTTGATGCTAGAAAGTGTTCAAGTGTTTCTCTTGAGTCTCTATCATGAAGTTGTGGATGACTCTAGAATTGATCATTCTACTCTTGGCCAATCTATAGTTAACCAAGACCTTAATGTACATAAGACCTCATTCTATTGGCTCTATTGTCTCTCCCACTCTCTTTCGGAAAGAAAATAGTACTTCAAGGTCCCCAATGCAGGGGTTTTTGACGCTTTGACTTGGAAGGCATGGAGAGCCACCCTTTGTGGGTATTCAAATTCTCGATAGGCCACCTTGCATATGAAGCAAACGAGGGCCCTTATTTGTAGCTTTTTTGGTCATGAAGTCTCATGAATATCTACCTCTCTTTTGGAAGAATTCATAGTTTCATCCTCGAGCTTCAAGTCTACCACCTCCCCTTATTAGGGTTTATGTCCTAATAAACTGATAAGCCCATTTTTAAAAATTTAGATTTGTCCTAATTGATAAAAATAACGGTGTTCCAAATGGACTTATTGTCAAGAAGATTAAAAAAAAATTCAAAAAATATGTCAACAACCGCATTTGAAAATTTTATAAATTATGTAAAAGTCAAATGGTCAATTTGACTTATTCTTTTGTAGAGATTAAAGGAGATCGGGAATAAATCACGTCCACAAACGTCTTTTATCGGGAGACTATAAATATCCACAAGTAAAATTCAAATTCGTGGATGAATGTAAATCAGATCTCAAAATGAGACATTTTCCTTAGAAATCTGAGCATCATATTTGCCATTTCTAAGTTTCAAGCAATTCTTGTGGTCAAATTGCACTCGAGACATTCAATCAAGTCTTGATCAAGTTCGATTGTGGAGTGACTCAATTTAGAGCAAGATTTCCAAATCTTGCTTCTAGATCTTCGATCATAAGAGGTAATATAATTCTAGCCTTATCTCTTGGTTGATCCAAATTTCGTATAAGGAGGTGTTAATTACTTTGATTCAAGGGTTCTTGTTTCAACAAAAGCTTGGATCGTTGGGCTGGGGATTAGGGTTGTCTTATCAATGTGGTATCAGAGCCTAGGTTTACATTTGTGTGGCCGACTCTAGAATTGATTTTATCTTTCATTCCTACTATTGTTTATCTTTTCTTTAAATCTGTCCTTTTATTTTCTTGCTGTCATTTCCGCCATTATTCATCAACTTTTCACTTTGTTCTCATGTTCTTCCTAAAGATCATGTTGAGATCTTGAAAAAAAAAACTTATCATATTTGCTCTTACGATTGTGATTATAAATGATCTTTATCATTTTTTTTAGATCATTTGCATGTTTATTTGAAGATCAAATAAACTTCCATTCACATCATTTTCTTAATCCATCTAAATATATAACCGTTGTGTTTGATATTTTTTTTTCTCATAATCTATGCTTGAAGATAACTTTTAAATTTCCCGAATTCTGTAAAAAGGAGAGTTAGATCGTTCTTAAAATCTTCATGTCCTTTCTTTTTGGAATTTTTTTAAAATTTTTTTCAGTGTGCAATTCTATCCAAAAATACCTTCGTGTTCCTTATTTGTTTGTTCACTGTCTTGTTTTATTTTTTTTATTTCATAATTAACTTATCTTGATTGCCTTGAATAGCTTGCTGCTATCAAAATTGTTTTACCCATATATTAGCCTACATTGATCATAATTTAGTCACTTTTCCAAACAGCCTACCTTTGTGTGTATAAACACGAGTGTCCTGAGTATAAAATCAATGAGTTGAGTATTTGAAGTCCTAAAAATATTTCACTACTGTTTGTACAATCATGAACCAAGACGAGGAAAATGGAGGGAAGATCAATGATCTAGTTGAAAAAGTCCAGAAGAATGAGGAGGAACTGGAAGATGAGATTCATTTGGCACTTATAACAAGAAGACTTGTTAAAACTCAAGTTACGGAGAATGATGTTGATGATCAAAGAGACAACCTGTTTCACACGCGGTGTTTAGTCAAGGGGACTGCTTGTAGTCTTGTCATTGATAGTGGAAGTTTCACCAATGTTGTAAGTACCATGTTGATCAAAAGGTTGCAAATTCCAACCTAAGATCATCCTAAACCTTACAAGCTCCAATGACTCAATGATAGTGGAACAATGAAGGTAGTTTCCTAAGCTTTAATATCTTTTACTTTGGGAAAATACAAAGATGAAGTTCTTTGTGATGTGTTACCAATGCACGCTGGAGATATATTGCTTGGCAGACCATGACAATTTGATAGGAGGGATATTTGATAGGAGGGATATGTATGATGGCTATTTAAATAGATATTCTTTTGTAAAAGATGGTAAAAAAATCATTCTTGTACCTTTGAGTTCTGCAAATGTATTTGCTGATCAATTAAAGTTGTTAGAAAGAAAGAAAGAGTTTGAAGAAAAAGAGTTAAAAAGAAAAACAATAGTTGAGTGAAAAAATAGGGAAAAATCAAAGAGAAAAAAAGAAGAATGAAAAAAGAGATGAAATTGAAGAAAAAAGGAAGAGAGAGAGAGATTTATTTGGTACAGTTGGAGAGGTGAGAAGGTTTTCACAAAAATGGATATTTGTACTCATGTACAATGGAGGATTTTTGGTCTCTAACTATAACAACTTAGATTTGCCTACCGTTTTTCAATCTCTTTTACAAGAATTTGAAAACATGCTTCAAGATAAAGAAATACCTCCCATTAGAGGTACTGAACATAAAATAGACTTCATTCCAAGGACTGTCAATCCTTATAAGTCAGCTTATCGAGTCAATCCAACCGAGACAAAAGAAATTCAAAGGCAAGTGGAGGAGCTCATGGAGAAGTGCTATGTATGAGAAAGTTTGAGTCCATATTCTACCGAGGGGCAGTCAATCACTCATTCACTAAACCAAGACATTCTTGACTTTAAACACAAATCCCTGAATAACTCTTGTTCCTATAATATTTTTAGTTATCGCTATTTTGGTCAAGAATATACTAACTCTTAGTAATTCTTCGTAAGTGTGACCCACCATTTTCAGACCTCAGAGATTGGTCCCAACAATTCTATCGAATGAAAAAGCCAAAGTTGGCAACGGACCTAAGAAATCCTATCCATTTCTGAAGTTTGTGTTGTTTCAACTCCCATGTTACGACCCTCCAAATGGGTAGTTGCTCTAGGGCAACATGCAGGTGGAACATGGGAATCTCACAGTGCAACTTAGTGGTGGAGACCATAGGAGATGTTGATATACTTCCTTCTCCCACTTACTATAAATACTTTCTCTATTCACCTTGTTATTGACTCATGCAAATACCTTCCAAATGGAGGACGCTCCCAGGGCGACACAAGGCCAAGCATGAATCTCACGGTGTGAATTTTTCAGAGAGCGTAAAAGGAAAACGATGTATCTCATATATCTTTTTCCTCCCACTAAGTATTTTAGACGGTTGGGTATACTTATTACTTAGTTATATTCCGGCTAATTAAATATAACTTAAGTCTAGGTGATTTTTCTAAAACTTATATCACTTAAACATGCTCATAAAACTGGGCTAACTAAGCTCAAGTATTGGTCCGATCTTCAGGTAGTAGGTGTTCCGTATACCGTCAACTTAAGTACCTCTAGCCTTAGACAAGATCGTGCTAGGTGAGCTTTCTTGTAACCGCAATTTTGTAAGATATCAACCTATTTTAACTATTAAAATTGATCGTGCTCGATTCTTAACCCTGAGTGAGCATGTACTTATCTTTATTATAGATTTTAACGTTTATCTCGTTTTATGACGTTGAAAATAACCTATAACATGTATCTAAAATGCTTTATATAACAATTATATAATCATCCATTCCATGCAATAATATAACAATTTATATCTATCACTCATGGAACCCTAAACATGCATACTATACATTATAACACTTATAACATACTTGGAATGCATGAAACATGCTTAGCCTATGGTGGGATTTTGAATCTATATGACATACTTTATGCATATACATTTTCTATTTAATTAAAACATACATTCATAATGCATAATTAATTAAACACGCTAAAGTGGATTGATTTTGCATTTTAAAACAAGCAATTAACTAAATTATGACATTAATAGTTAAAAATAACTTGAACCGCTCCCGAGGATCACGAACTAGGCGAACCAACCCTTAAAATCGTTGAACCGGACTCCAAAGGCAGAAAAAACACCCGAACTGCCTCTTCCATCTTCTTCTTCGGTCCAGCTTGCTATCTCTTCCATTTTCGATCAATTACAACCTAAAATGGACTCTAATGACTCCATAAAAATTACAAACCGTTCTTCATTAATTAAAGCCCATACACATTAGACTTATTACAATAATTGTATCAAATGGAAGCATAAAAAAAATGCCAAAACCAAAACCATCAACTTTAGCAACCATAAAATTTCATTCATGAAATGGTACCCACCATGATCAAATTAATGTAAATAAAGTGCCTAAAACTTGCTATGATACCATTGAAAGTGTTAATGTAACACATGCGGAAGAATTTGGATCTTAGGCACTTTTAGAACATCAATTATAGTAAATAACTAGCATGTTCATAAGTATTAAAACTTAATGAGTTTGAATACTAACCTTTTGTAGTTCAAATTTCTTTTTTCTCACGAACCGGTTTCGAACCACCACTAATGTCTTCTCCACTATCCTCCGGCCTTAGAACGGGATTGTGGAATCTGGTGAGTGACTTAAACTTACGTTAATTTCTTCATGCTCGTTTCAAGTTCGAAGTACCATTTGTACAAATAAGAACCCCCTTTGTTACATGATTTCTTCTTCATATAGATAGATATAGAATCTATGGAGCAATTACTTAGAAGTACATTTTGTGCAACAACCCTTCCTATCTGATAGAAAAGGATTCCATGATCCTGAACCGATCTTACCTAGGATCGTAAATCCCAAGTTTGTCTATGAAGAGCAGATCTAATTATATTAGTGTCTATAATTGATTTCTTCCACATAATACTAATCGATAGAGCCTCATTGGTAAGTGCTACGGGAGGGATTTTGTATATATGAAGAGAGTGTTTGTGAGAGGTTTTTCTCAAGGTTTTTCACCAAGAAGAAGAACTTTCATGTATTATGATCACTTTATTTATAGAGTCATGTTTGCATGTTCATACAAATTTGAGACCACCAAATTTTGACACTCAAAATTCCACTCAGATGTTTGGGATTATGTGGCAAGCATGTATGCTTGAGTTAACCCAATTTTGACACTCAAAATTCCACTCAAATTTGTGGGGTTTATTTGGCAAGCATGCAAGTTTGGTTAAACCAAATTTTGACACCTCAAAATTCCACTAACATGGATTTTTCCATTAAATGAAGTCAACATTTTGACTTTCTTCATTCTCATTCAACAATCAATTTGAATTATTAATTTCAAATTAAAGTAATATTAAATGATTAATTAAACTATTTAATTAATATTTAATATTAATTCAAATGACAATCCCAATTAATTCCGACACATATTTGATTAAGATATTAAATCTTATTTAAATATCTCAGATTCTCTCTTTTGGTTTAATTCGTAAATAAAAAAAAATGTGGTTAAATATATCGTATATATGTAGCACATTCTCTCTAATTTGAATTCGAACACTTCGAACTCACTCATCACACTGTTCTATGGTTTAGTCCGATATGATCTAGCAAAGGAACCTAATGGACCTATAGATCATGGGCTCCAACGATCCAAGATTAACCGGTTAAACTCATTAACCTTGTTAACCAACATTCGTTAAACTACTAGAACATTCTAATGTAGCCTAGTAGTTGCACTCCCCTCACTATAGATATATTTCTGTCCATTTGATATAACCATGATTAGTAAATCGATCCTTCACAGGTTGTTTGTAACTAGAGCTGGGTCAATTTAACGTTTTACCCCTGAAGTTACTTCTTGTTTCTAATGTCTCACTGATCCTCTAATGAACAATTGGTTTGTGGTCTGACCAGTAAACCGGATCCCTCTCAGGCCAATGAGAGGGTGGGGCCCCTTGTTCAAGACCTGGAGTGGAGTCAGTACTTAAGGGAACTACCTTTCTTCTATCCCTAAAAGTGGGTAGGAGTGAATCCATCTTGCACCCCACGTCCCCAGCCATTTACCTAGTCTTACCCCTGAAATGGGAGGCCTATTGAGTCGGCGAACTTGAGCCACTCTCACCCATGCAAATCTAAGGATAATTCCGAATAAAAAGGAGTTCATGGTTAGCTTAGGATTAAGATCGAGTTACCTAGGTCATCGAATGAAAAGAAAATCAGTCTCAATAGTAAACGACATTATAAAGTGAGAGTGATTTTCGTCATGGTTTGATCTTATGCAATACTCATTACATAGGACACCCCACTCACATGTCTCCACATGTACAATTTTAGTGATCATATTGTTTATATCATATACAAAAGTGGGCCGCATCCATAGTGTCCCCAGAATAAGGTACTCAGTCTTATCCTTATACTATAGATCATTTTGACTATATACTTGAACTTGATCAACTCTTATGTCTTTACAAATAGTTCAAGTAATCATACTATAGCCAGAGTGTTCTTAGTTTATTGGATTTAAATTAATGATCGTAAATTTCACTTTATTCAATAACAATCTTTACTAAATAAACAACAATAATAACTTTATTGAAAATAGAATATGTTTTTGTTTACAAACGATGAGTTTTAGGACATAAAACCCAACAATATTTAATTCAATCTATAAACTAGAAAATTTATTAAAGTTCACAATGAATGGAAAGTTACACAATAAATAAGTCATATACTTATTAAATATTTTTAATATTCAAAGATTTGTTAAACACGAACATAAAATTTAATTTATGACAACAATAATAACATTGAACTGATAATTTTTTAAGGTTGGTAATGGTGATCTACTTTTTGTAGGAGATGGTGGTCTCCTCCACTATTTACCGTAACTATAACATCTGCAAAGTATTTCTTTCTGCATACTTTAACAAAGAACACCATTGCACAAGCTCGTAAAAATATTTCTCATCATTACGACCATGTAGTATATGGATGCATCAGTTTCTTAGTCTTTTTCTTTTCGTCCTTAGATTCATGATATCTCTCCAATCTTATTCGTATTCAATCAAAAGATAACTAGAGTAAACCTGAAAATAACAAACAAAAGAAATGTAAAATAACTCAAATAAGTATTAGATTATAGCGTTTGAGTAAAGCAATGTTAAATAAATAAATTGAGACTAGAAGTGATCCTAAGATATAAAATTATGGTTAAAAACAAGAATTTATAGCTCCTAATAAAGTTAACATTTCTTTTCTTTTGGTAACTTAGATCATATGAACCTCAAAATTATATGTATTCAATCTCCTTAAAATTATAGAGATTTCGAATCTTGATGTGAAGAATTATAGAACAAATCACCGTATCAACCTCTCAATCTAATTACTAATATACCCTCAATATCCAATAACATTTCTAATTATTCTATCTTAATACCATTTGTATCAAATTATTCTCTCTTATTTGGTTGTACAGAGCAATGAACTTTTTTCTCTCGATGTACTCATGTGTCATCTTTAAGGTTCGTATAACCCACTTTTATTTATTAAAAATTTAATAATCTATATGATGATTTGTTGTTCTATCACAAAATTTCTTGCAATAAAGAGGGAAGATGAAGCTTTGAGGATTGCACAATTGAGAAAAATCTGTGTTGTTATTAAGAAGGTGATTATTATTATTATTACACAACTATACATATTTATTTTCACTAATCTCACTTAGTTATCCTAATATTAATAGGCAAGAATAAAAAAAGAAAAAAAAAGAAAAAAAAAAACATAAGGTTTTGGATATTGGGTGTGGGTTGGGAACTCTGGCTATTGAAATAGTAAAGCAAACTGGATGCCTCTGCACTGCCATTACTTTGTCCAAACAACAATTGCAATATGCCCAAAAAAGGGTTCAACATCTTGGCCTTCACGTAATATCTCTTTCTTATGCACCTATTTTACTTCTTTCGATTGTTGTTTGAGTTAAGGTATTTTCTTAGTTTCTTAACAATCTAGAGTTATCATAAAGTTTATCATGAAGTAGCATCCTACTTGATAATCAAGTGCTAACCTTAAGCTCATATTTAATTAGGGTAGCATCCGAATTACTTAAAAATCAAGGGCTAACTTAAGCATAACATGAAGCTTAATGACCTGATCATAATACTTGATAACATTCAATATCCTAAAGTGAGCTTAAGTTATATTAAACTTCTAGGCCTCCATAAATCTTGGTTAATCATTAGAGGCACTTCAGTCATTTCTCTTAAGCCTTAGCCTATACCCCTAACTTGATTTAAATTCTAAACTTGATCCAAGCATCTTGAAATATTACATAACCCTTCATGTTCTTGTATATAGGCTTTACTTAAAATATTGGATCATTAGGAGGGTATTTGGACCTTGAAATATTTTAAAGGAATGTTAGGGACATTTTGGTCATTTTACCACCTTAAACTTAGTTCGAACCCCAACTGTGATCAATAGTTCTAAAACTTTATATAATTCTTTCACATTATAAAATAAGGCTTCATATAAAGTTTCATGATATTAGGAGATCAGTTGGGTAATTAATGAAAGGTAAGTTATTTTAGGGGCATTACAGTCTTTTTACACCCTTACTTGGTTTCATTACTAATCATTTTGATCCAACCTTCTTATAGGATCCTATCGAGTTTCTCCTTTGCAACTATCCAGAATTGTCAAATACAACTAAATATGATAGGATCCTATTGTGATGAGTTTTCAAATGAAATAAAGCTATTAGTCATAATATGCATGAATTAGTACTATAACATAATAATAATTTGATTAAACTATAGATTTAGTATGTATCTAATAGATCACAAAATGTTTTAGATTCATCAACTTTAAATCTAGCTTAATGTCCTTAAACTTTTGAAAATGAAAACTTTATACTAAACTTTTAATTTTGTATTAAATAAGACATTAAACTTTTAACTTTTTGTTCGATAGATTCATAAATAAAAAAAAAAAAAAATGAATAAGTAGATGACGGTCAGAACCTAAATTTCGAGACTAAAAAGAAGAATGTGAAAAAAAAAAAGTAAAATAAAAGAAAAATCAAAATTCGATAAAATTTATATCAAAATAAAGAAAACAACACCAAAATTAAATACAAAAGAAAATCTAATTATAAGAATGTGTTCTTTAAATTTATTATAAAAGAGAAAAATGGGTTTGAGATACCATTGTAAAAAAAAAAATTTAAAAAAAAAAAAAAAAAAAAAAAGAAACCAGGCTG